AACAGGAAATTTACATTGATTACGTGCATTGTACATTGTTGTTTGTTATGAGATATACACCGAGGATAGAGGGGGTTGATTTACTGTCCTTGACAACAATCATTTACAATCAACAATTTTATGAGATTTTGAAAAATATGGTTAAATTTGTGGATCTAAAGTACATAATTTAAAAATATAAAATACTAAAAAGTTGTAAATTGTGTAAAGAAAGCATAGCATCATCAATCTGAAATAACCAGACAATAATGAATTCTTTTTGTAGTAACAAGGACATTTCTTTTACATTATTCAACATTATTCAAAATACTTTTGTAAAAACCAATATTTTTTTTTAAATTTAAGTACTGTGAAATCACAAATTTTCGTGGGGGTTTAATTTTCGTTGTGTTCGAGGTATGACGAGGCAATTGAATTCATGTCCACCACAAAATGTAAAATGCTACATACATAAGTACTCATTAATTCTTGATCCACGAAATAAAATCCCCATGAACCAAAAGATTTTTCTCAAACCACAAAAATTTGACCCCACGGAAATATGTGATTTAACTGTAGATTATTTAACCTCTGGAAACGTTTTGCTTCGATAGGAACCTAATATATTGGAATGGGGGCTAATTTAAAGTTTACAGGAATACAAAGCATTACCAAAACTGCTGCAACTTCTGAAAGAATGGCTTGATTATTTGACAGTTGTGTTGCTTTCTGTTCATACCATAGAAATAAAGATTTGTTTTTTTTTTTCGTTATTTCACCATCATGACAATGAGCACACGGCGGATGTGACCGGTCAGCAGGGGATGCTCACTCCTCTATGACACCTAATCCCATCTCTGATGTTTCGGAGGTCCGTGTAAGCCCTGCTCTTGTTTTGTATTGTTTTATGGACTTTGAGATTAAATACTGTTCGTTATCTCCATATCTTTCTTTTGAATCAATAAACATGTCACACTTAGGTGACGCTTAAGTTAAAGCCATCATGTTTATCATAAATCTTGGTTGTTAGGTTACCATTAATGTCTTTTGAAGAAAAATATACAAATATGAAACGGACTCTGTAGTATCTTTTATCTCATGCTCATACATCGTAACAACATAAGGATGGAAATATGAATATAATGAGAGTGTCCATGTTTTGTCGTTGGAAACCCAAAATAGGAAGTGCACAATGGCAATATGTACTTAAGAATTTGTGAAATTTTCCTCAAATTTTATACAGTAGTATGAGAGGAGTTGCGGATAAGAGATGGGTACCCCAATGCGTAACAGACAGACTGACGGACGGGCGTACAGACAGATGGACGAACGAACGGACGGACATACCAATTACTATATCCCTCCCATTTTTCAAGCTGGGGTATAATAACAAATGTTAATTTACAATACATACTTTGTCATTTTCTCTAAATGTCGGGTTGAAGGTCACATCAAGTGTTTTCTTCGAGTGCAAGATAAATTTTAAGTGGGATTTATATCTGTCACATGAAATAGCAATCTTTAGCTTGCGTAAATGAATTTGAAATAAATACCTTAGAATTTTAGTTTTTAATGCTTGGCTTGGTTATCATGATATTGGCGCTATAAGAATATGTATTGTTTCCTTAAATTTTATTATAAATTCATCCAGTTTTTGGTATGCGTGGTTAGTTGCGATCATAAAAAGCATTCATCTTCATTTCTTTTACCACTATTTTACTTTTTTTTATGCAAGTTTTAAGTGTATATATAACATGACATTTAGTCCTCGCTCGTAAAGCCCATGACATTTTACAACTTGTCTTACCTTTTGATGAACACTTGCGTGCTGTAGAACTATATGCATGACAAATTCATGTTATCTATGAAAATCGGACCACAATTTAAGGCAAAATAATAATTACCAAGCATGAAACTTTTTAGTATAATGTGACGATTTGATCTATTCCTCCGTAAAAGATTATATTTTGTTACATTTACATTGTAAATTCGTGCATTGTTTGTTTTCTTTATTGAGATTAAATGTAAAGGGTGTTCACGGTAAATGTTTGGAGAATTATTTTATCTTTCAAACTTTTAATCCTACTTTTTTGTCAAAAAAAATCTTTTGAGGAAAAACTACAACAAAATCACGTGTTCTCTTTTGTTTCTTTGAAATCTGTTTTTGGATGTGTAAATTGCTGCTTTTTGATTGGATAGAAAAATATTCACGTTTATATGAAATATATTTAAAGCAACTTTCAGTTATCGTTCTTGACTTCCATATTTGGAAAGCGGTCAGGCAATTTAAAAGGAGAAGACCGACACATGTGACCTCACAGTTCATAACAAAAAATATGTTCAAAATAAACTACTCGCTTCCATTGTTATAAACGCGTTAACCTTAATTTGAATAAGTAATCCATATTTTGCCTGAAGTGAAATTAAACAAAGATGGCAGATTTTTTTGTGGAAGATATCTAAATCTAACTACAATGGTTGTAGTACTAAACAGTTTTGAAATGTTATTAGAATCCTCAACAAGATCAATTGAATCAATTTCATCCTTAATGTCAGAAAGATTCTTGTTTATTTCATCCAGATGTTTCTGTAGAATTTGTAACTGTTTGCTTTTCATCTCATCATCTTCAGCTTTAATTTTTTCGGCAAGTTTTTCAATTTCTCTGTTCAAGTCCTCTCCATGCTTTGTTATGGCTCTTGAAAGATCGACATATTCCTTTTCTAACTGACACTTTCTGGTCTGTACATCATAGGCAATGTCCTGGTAGGTGGGGTAAATTGTTTCATTTAGTTCGATTTGTTCTTGGATAATTATTTTTATTTTTTCGTCCACAATTTGCAGGATTTCTGATACCTTATGACCAAGATGTTGATCAGATGATATACATTTAATGCATACAGGAAAGTCACATTGATTACAGTGCATTGTACATTGTTGTTTGTTATGAGATGTACACCGAGGATAGATGGGGGTTGATTTTCTGAGATTTTGAAAGATCAGCAGAAAAGTGTTTTCCAACACAAGTTCTACACAGGTTGACAAGGCATGCATCACAGTGCATCTGTACCACATCGGTCTTACACAGGTCACATCGCATCACGTCCTGGGCTCTGGCACGAGGTTCCATGGTTAAAATTGTGGATCTAAAACACATACTTTAAAAATATACAATACTTATGAGTTGTACATTGTGTAAAGAAAGCATAGCATCATCATTCTGAAATAATCCGACAATAATGATTTTTTTTTTGTAGTATCAAGTACATTGCTTTTACATTACTTTGAAATACTTTTGCAAAAATCAACATTTTTTTTCAAAAGTTTATTTAATAGATTATTTAACCTCTGGAAACTTTTTGCTTCGATAGGAACCTAATATATTGGAATGGGGAGAAATTTAAAGTTTACAGGAATATATAGCAAAAATGCTGCAACTTCTGAAAGAAATACTTCATTATTTAACATTTTGTGTTGCCTTCTGTTCATACCATAGAAATAAATAATATGTTTTGAATCAATAAACATGTCACATTTGGATAATCTCTGGAAATGACACCAATTCCCTTGCTCGATGGACAGCAACATTTTCAGAATTTTAAATATTTTTTCCTGTTAACCCTTTCTCTACCGGCACATTTTAGGTGGTTTTGGAGACTTTTTGATATGACATTATTAAATTATTTCTAACTTTTTTATTCAAGGAGAAAGGTAGGTATATTGCATACCATTTTGTAGGGAATGTCTTAGAGATGATATTTTATGACTATTCAGATACTCAACAACTGACCTTATTAGTAAAAATGGAGGTCAAAAGCCAATTAAGTGCAAAATTTTATGGGATTTTTTAATACTTTTGAATCTTCAAGCTAAATATTTACTATGATGTATGTTGAAATAGGAAATTTTGGATATACTCACAAAAGAGCATGATACTGTACTACATGAAACATATAAACTTTTTTTTTCAATTCTGCATAAAACTACTTAAAAGCGGTTGCTTAGCTACCCAGAATTTTTTAATTTTCGGGCAAGAATTATCGTTTATTACTCATTCAAAGACACATTTATGCATCCCAGCACATATTAAAGTTAGATGTGAGGTCATACAATAACAAGGGACGAACAGCAGATAAACTGTCTTAAAGTTTGACCTCATTAGAACTATTTGTAGGAGGTCAAAGGTCAAATATGTGCAAAAGTTTCATAAATTTTTTTCAAAACTTTTCAATATTCTTGCCATAATTTTACACAATGGATGCTGAAATGGAAAATTCTGAATATACTCTCAAGAAGGGATCAGAACTGCAATATCCATGCATCATTTTAGTTCAAATATCTGTTTAATGACCTTTAAGTGGTTGCTAAGCAACAACTTTTTAAAGTTTTTGGCTATATACATGTTTGTTATTTCACATTCTGGGCACATTCTCGACACTTTTTGTATGTTTAATGATATTGTATTGTTAGATATGGGCCATAAAGATGAAAGAACATTTTTGTATTAAAAATTGACCTTGACACTCTTGTTCTTAAGGGGGTCAAGGTCATATCAGTACAGAATTCTGCTTCAAATTGTAAGTAAATATCAATTTTGAAATGCTTCAATCATGTATAAATCATCTAATAGTTGACGTGATAAAAATGGTAAACGACAAAATTTGCAAGCAAAGAGTTCTGGTCTGCTTCTTACAAACCCCTAGCAAAATATGTATACAATCTTTTTGTTAAATAAAAAATCCATTCTCTTGATGACATTAAAAATAATCTTTATTTTTATGGATTCAATCTAACAAGAAAAAATAAACTAAATGATTTCATTACAAGATTTTTCTGGTATAACAGATCTTAAGGGGTACAATAAAGACTTGACATGTTATCTTGGAGGGAAATAATAATAATAGATAGCATTGGCAATATTTAACACAAAACTGTTTAGTCAATAAGTTGAAAATGTGACGTTTATATCCAAATATACAAATCCAGAAATATTGCAAGATGAATTCCAATCAGACTTTTACTTTGTGTCCACCATTCTTTTATCAACTGTCATTTCTCTGTAAGACTGGAGGAAATTCTTTGACTTGTCCAAGATATTATTATTTGCTGTCGAGTACAAGTGATCAGCTTCTATCCTGTAAAAGATTAAAGTATTTTGAAGCAGATACATGTCATTGTGTATATGAATTTACATTTATAAATAAAATTAAGAATGCTAAAATTACTAAATTTATTTGATTTTCCTTTTAAAATTAAAATTGCATTTATTATGTGATTCAAGTGGTTAAATGATATTGAACTGTCAATGTAATAGGACTGATAATTCAACAACCTTGTAGTAAACCATCATGGTAAAATTACTGAACTAAAACAAATATCATATATGGCAATCTGACTAAAGCCTCTGTTTACGCTATCGCACCATATAAAAAATTCTGGCAGTGGATGGAAGATCTAATTTTGATTAGATAATTGCTATGAAAGTCATGAGGGGACACATCAATTTTTCAAAAAAGTAAAAAATGAGATCTCGAATTAGACAATCCAATCCCACGGATTACTAAATCGTTCCCTCGAATTACAATTCGAGATCTAGAGTTACACAATCTGATCTTACAGATTACTAATTCGCCCCCTTGATACATAATTTGAGATCTCGAATTACATACTGGTAATTCGTTTTCACAGATTAAAAATTCGAGATCTCGATTTGTTATCTGTGCTCTTGAATTTCATTACATATATGTACAGATACATCCAACCATTTTAATCAGTTTGTGCGTTCTATTTATTTTGTTTCAGCAACCGGTCATTTCCAACCTCTTTTGTAACTACTTCAACGTATAGTTATTTTTGAAATACTATGATTACACAGGACTCATATTCACTTTTACTATTTAGGACTTTCAATTATTTTAAAATACACTTAACACAAAAACTTCTATTTTGTTGTACAAATATCAGTACTTGCATATGGATTTGAAAATGTTTATGTATTTTTTTTATTTTGGACCGTAATATGTAATAAAAGGTAGGATGTAAAATACTACAATATTCTATTCTTTAAACATGTATTACCATATCCGATATGTACAGATAAATAATTTTAATGAAATCATTGGAAGGGTTTACATTCCGAGGGAACAAATCATTTAAACTAAGAGAATGAATTATACAATCTGAGATAACGGATTGTGTAATTTGAGGGAACGAATTGATAATCTGTGAGAGTGAATTGGCATTTTGTTATAACAGATTGTCAATCCGAGAGAACGGATTGTATAAATCGAGAACTTGGTTTACTTTTATAAATTTTTAAAAATTTTATGTCCCTTCATGGCTTTTCATAGATTGCATACCTGCATGGCTGCCAGGGTTGTGAAAAGAAAGGAGACAATAGACTGCAATGTTACTTCAGGGCAAAATTCTTGGGGCAAGGCTGTTCGTGAGCATGGGAGTGTTGATAAACCATCCAGTGAGTTTGACCACCCATGTATATGATGTACGATAATTGAAAAGTGTCTGAAAAATTGAGAAAATGGAAATCCTAACCACATACTTTATGCAGATTGGAAATACAACAGCAGTCTATAAAAACAGCTTGTTCCATATCTCGGCATTCATTCAAATAGATATTACGTGTTTAAATAATGTGTTTGTATGAATAATTAAGCATCATAAGTATTATGTGTTTCAAACACTTATTTTTTCAAAATATAAATCAAATGTTTATAAACTTGTATGAATGCAATATCATGAGAATGTCACAAATGAAATTTGACTTTATTATTTGAAATATTAGAAATACAGAAATTTTCAATACCAAAACAAAAATTTACCTGTTCAGTGGTGTCTTTACATATTAACTGGCCTTCGTAGTTCATGGTGGGCATAGCGCGTGGGTATTCACAGATGAAAGTATTGTTGCATATGGTGCCAGCACCCTAAAAATTCAACGTGAAAGTGGTACATGTACACACTGTATACTGAAAACAACTATCCATTATTATGGCAACTTTGATTTTACTTTGAACTTTCGAGTGATTGTCAAAAGCATCAAAGTTCAAAAGCAACACAAAATTGGCTGAACAATACGAAATACGCACACTGATATATGAAGATCTAGTACATGTGTACATTTAGTTTTCTTTTGAACGTGAACTAATTGCGTTTTAAACTTAAACTATTTAGTCAATATACACGTATTCTCACCTGCTAATATCAAAGGCATGTCCGTATTAATTGATTCATTGATGTGATGATCTTCGTCGTGAAATAATCATGAAAATTGACGTTCAGATATGTTGTTTGTTTACTGCTACCATAGTGGCTATTTCAATTCGTATCAACTCATACAGTGATGAGTTGTATTTATTTATAAATGCGAGTTTTTGTATTGTTAAATTTCGTGCCAATATTATATAGATCTAATTAAATTGCAAAATAAGTATACAGTATAATAAGATACAACAATTTTAAAAAATCTGATTTTTTTTTAGTAAAGATCGACGTTTAGGGAATCTACAATTTTTATCAACATTATATATCACTACATAAAATATACATCATTACATGTGGATGAAAAAATTAACATTTCACTTCACACAAAAGGCAGAACGATCGTATATATTTGTTTTTTGAAATCTATTTTTTTTTTTGTATTTTGCATTTATTTCGGTAAAAAAATATATTTAAATGATAAAAAAAAGTTTTATAAAAGAATTTGTTGTTTCGAGTAAGACGCAACAATTAGTCGGGTCCTGATTTTTAAAAAGAAGACTAGAAATAACTTCTAACGGCAAATAATTATTATTTGGTCCAGCATACTTTTGTAACCTAATTCGAGTATGCTAAATCCGAAAAAAATATGCTGGCCTTCATGAAAATGGCGTTAAAGAGGTCAAAATGGCGATTCAAAATGGCGGACATCCAATTTTTCTAATTTTCTCTAAATATCGTTCAAAATGGAGAAATAATGTGTGAATATCTCACTGAGTGTAATACAACTATAAAATTGACAATGGAATGCTAACATTATTAGTTTTACTTAGAAAATTTAGTCATTTGTACACTTAATTCGAATTTTCTCTGATATATTTGTTTATTGTTTCTATACTCTGCTTTGTTCAGGTTTTTACATTTGTAAATATCTATATACATTACAGATTTGTTTTTTCTCTGCATCTCACTATTCACAATTGAATGGTGGTGCATCTGTAAGATAAAAGTCAAAATGGCGATTCAAAATGGCGGATATTAATTTTTTTAAAATTATTTCTTTATGTCGTTTACATAGGAGAAAGGATTTGTGAATATCTTACTGAGCGTAGTACAACTATGTAAAATGACAATAGAACACTTATATTACATTATCACTTTAATTCGGAAAACTTAGTCGTTTAAATTTAAAATGTGTTAATAAACTCAAAATGGCGATTCAAAATGACGTCATATACACTCGAATTTCGTAAAATACCCAAACTGCATAATTCTGAGTTGTTCTGCAGAAAATAAAATACAGTTTGTTTTTTTATAAATGAAATAATATTCAAATAGGCGATAAAAGTTGGAGGATATTTTTGTTAATGACTTAGGATTTTTATGACACGGATTTTTGAAAATTATTCCTATTACTAGTATTAATTAAGATAAACCTTTGCCGACAATTCCGAAGACATTTTACCTATTATCTGTCTTGCCATGCTTCTTCACATAAAAAGTTAATAATATCATACAATAATTGCTCTTTAGAGGACAATATGACAATTAACCTACCCTAAGAGCAGTATTCCCCGAGCATTAAGGCGAGTAAACATTGTATTTCAAGGTTTGCTAAATCATATCTCAGTTGTTGGAAATTCTTAATCTATTTTTAGTCCAGTGTAGAAAAAATTAAAATTAATGTATATGTTAATGTAGAAGGTCTAGTGCAACATAACGTAGTATGATTTTTAAAATAATGGACCACGATCAATTAGAGGGCTAGTAATTGTTACATCATATAAATCTGAATGTATTATAATATTCAAAAATAAACATATCTATTAAGAATTATCAGTATAATATACGTAAACCATAAATGTTCTTGATTGTCCAGCTCTGATTCTGCGCTCCTGAATTTGAATGTTGTTATTCTCAGACAAAAATTCAACTTTATTCACAGATATTTCATGTTGTGAACGGATAATCTTGTATTGAACAGTTAATTTAAATTTTGAAATTTACAAAATCTGAAAGACGAAAATGTTTGTGTTCAATCCCCCCTCGATTCTTATCCTATGTTCTATCCTAACAAAGGATCAAGTTGCCTCGTTAAGTTCTTGGAGTGTTCATGGAAATTTTGTTGTCAAGAGAAGTGTTGAATAGATCGAAGTCAAGAGTGGCTTAGTCTTTTGGAACGAAAGCTTGTACGTGATGACCTTTCTACCCCAAAAGAAAAGAAATCTATACGGTCACAAAATAGAAAGCTTCACGACTTGAATATCAGAGATTTTTTTATATCCACGCTTGAAAAGCGGGAGGATATAATAATCGGTCCGTCCTCCGTCTGTTACCCATCTTTAATCCGAAACTCCTCTCATACCATTGGATGAAATTTGATGAAACTTTTACAGAATCTTTATTGCATATTGCAATAGTGCATCTCCTATTTTACTTTTTGATCCGACACATATTTTGGGTTTCCTATAGCAAAACATAGACACTATCATTATATTCATATGGGAGGCGGGGTATCATTTAGTGAGCTCATTTCTCACATTACCTCTAGTTCATTTGGCATACGGTTTTGGAAAACAAAATATACTTTTAACATTTGAACATAAATGTGTTGTTCCTTGGGTGTTGAAAATACCAAAATTCTGAAGACAGACTGAAACATATAGCAAATAAAGCTGGGATAGAAGATGTTAGGGGATAATACTAAGCTCTTAGTACTAATTTAAAAGCTATCACAAAGTGTTAGATGAAACGTACAAGAATTTCTTCAGTTATATTTGATGATGTGCTGAGGGATGTTGAAGTAAAGTGCGAGTTGATAATGACGGCAATCCAGGAGTGATTTTCGGTGGACGGGGGACTTTTGAACACGGTCAAATACGAGGAGGAAATTTGGAAACCCTTAGGTAGAGTTTATTTTAATTTCAAGAAAAAATGAAACTTTTCTAGTATTTTTGTTTGTTCATATTAAATGGACTAATTAATACAGAATATATAAAACTAGAGGTACTGTGAGCAATGAGCTTACTAAATGATACCCCCGCCTCCCATATGAATATAATGACAGTGTGTCTATGTTTTGCTATGGGAAACCCAAAATATATGTCGGATCAAAAAGTAAAATAGGATGTCACAATGGCAATATGTAATAAAGGTTAAGTTTCATCAAATTTCATTCATTGGTATGAGATTAGTTGCGGATAAGAGATGGGTACCCCAGAGCGTAACAGACGGATGGACGGAAATACCGATTACTGTACACCCTCCCACTTTTCAATCGGGGGGTATAAAAACAAACTGTAATTTATTTTCTGCAAAACAACTCAAAATTAGGCAGTTTGGGTATTTTATGAAATTCGAGTGTATATGACGCCATTTTGAATCGCCGTTTTGAGTTTATCGACACTATTCAAATTTAAACGACTAAATTTTCCGAATTAAAGTGATAATATAAGTGTTCTATTGTCATTTTACGTAGTTGTATTACGTTCAGTAAGATATTCACAAATCCTTTCTCCTATGAAAATGACATTAAAAAATAATTTGAAAAAAATGAATATCCGCCATTTTGACTTTTAACTTACAGCTGCATCACTATTCAATTGTAGAATAGTGACTTGCAGAGGAAAAAATACAGATCTGCAGTGTATGGATATTTGCAAATGTAAAATCCTGAACAAAGCAGAATATAGAAACAATAGACAAATAAATCAGAGAAAATTCGAATTAAGTGTACAAACGACTAAATTTTCTAAGTTAAACTAATAATGTTAGCATTCTATCATCTTTATTATAGTTGTATTACACTCAGTGAGATATTCACACATTATTTCTCCATTTTGAACAATATTAAGTGAAAATTAGAAAAATTGGATGTCCGCCATTTTGAATCGCCATTTTGACCTCTTTAACGCCATTTTCATGAAGGCCAGCATATTTTTTCGGGTTTAGCATACTCGAATTAGGTTACAAAAGTATGCTGGACCAAATAATAATTATTTGCCGTTAGAAGTATTTTTTTCTATAAATCGGACCAGACTACTCAGCCAAAGAGTGCAAATACACAAAATTGTGTCACAATCCTATTTCAGTGCAATATTTGTTATGATAAATTCCCCCCACTAACAAAAATCTTGTCCTCAAGATTTGTTTAATACACTTTTTAAAGACTTTAAGCTAATATCGCTTAATTTTCAGATGGCTTTAGCAAACTACAGCATCATAAAATAATCAAAATATTATTAAACATGCACAAGAATAATATGTTTTATGCACAATAAGATTATATATACGAAAACAACACAATATACAAAATTTACATGTACATAAAGATCGATTCGTGTACAACTGCCTAGGCATTTACCTGGGTGGAGTCGGCAACACTCTTTAGAATAGTAAACATTAATCTGCAGGAAAAATGACATTCACAAAATAATCATAAATGTAAAAATAAACACTTCAACGTCCAATCAGTACCCTTTTCGTTTAAACCAGAAAAAGAAGTTACCACAAAAATTTACCTTCTGTGATCTTTTCACAATTAAAAGAAAATGAGTTTTCCTTGTTCTGCAGGGTAGGTACTTTTTAAATAAAATATTGTTACTGTACATATACATGTAAAATCAATACTCAATCAAATTTAATCTGACAATAATGTCAATCTTTCAACACATCCGTAGGCAATAATTGTTAGCTCAAATAAATTCAAAAATCGTAAAAAAAAAATCAATGTTAAACCTAACATGTTCAAAAGCACGAACACATTTCAACATTAATAAAAATTGTAGTCATTATTGATAAAAAAAATCTAATCAGTGAAAAAAATATATTGGGCTTGAAGGAGAAAAAAAATATAGAACGGCGTTTAAAAGAAAATCTGGTATGATTTTCAACAATTCGTTTTTCTTTATAGCCAAATTTGATTTTTATACGAAAGGAAAAATCTTCGATAGAAGTGTTTCAAGAAAATTTTCAAACAGTCTTTTGAATGTCATTTACAAAATGTTATCTGCAGCATAACCTGAGCGTACCACCCATGTGAAGAGTTTAAACTTAAATGTTTGTTTATTTGATTGTTCGAGTT